TGCGGCCATTTGGGGAGTGAGTCAGCAGATGGAAGATTTCTCTCTCTGTCTCTCCTCCTCTGTCTCTCTCTCTGTAACCCTGCATTTCTTTTTTTTAACTTTTATTTAATAAATATAAATTTCCAAAGTACAACTTTTGGATTATAGTGGCTGCCCCCATAACGTCCCTGCCACCGCAACCCTCCCTTTCTCACTCCCTCTCCCCTTCCATTCACATCAAGATTCATTTTCGATTCTCTTTATATACAGAAGATCAGTTTAGCATACAAAGCATCTTACACATTGCTCCTCCCCAGCACCATTGCTTCTTTTGTATTTGGGAAACACAGATAAAAAATATTCTAAGAAGGAAAAATCACTATCAAGTTGATAGTAGAGAACTTTTCATCATAAGCCCAAGCTATCATTGACTGTAAATATGTGAAGTTATGGGATGTGTCACTAGCGCTGTACTACTTTCCCTCAAAGATAGTTCCAAAACAAAAAAGTATGTCATCGTTTGCCCTCAAGAAGCTTACAATCACTCTAACAAAAAGCAAGCTCAAAGAAAAATTAGCAAGCGCTAAAAGTGTTAGTATTGACATTTTGTAAACCGGGACATAAATGCTATGAGGGCAGACCAGTTGTGGCTGGAGGAAAAAGACAATGGACTGAATACACAGAGAAGAGGGAAATGTTTTGGGAATAAACGCAGCTGGGATTTACAGTCAAGAAAGCAACACGCAGCAAGACACATGGGTATCTGAGGTGCATGCTAAGGAAGACTAACAAGTCAGGTTCGCCGGCTCAGATGGACCTGGTAATAGAATGTGCTAGAGATCAGACCGAAAGACCTGATTTTGATCATTTGGAGATTTGCATAGGAAAAGGTCCAGTTGTAAATCATTTACTTTGTGTGGATTATCAGTTACCATCTTTAGGATAACCAACTAATCACTAGTGGGAAAAATAAAATTAAGTCCCTTTTTCACATCTTATATCTAAGTAAGTCCTGGCTGGGTTACAGGTTTAACTGTACAAAATAAAATCATAAAATATGAACGAAATACTTTTATTAAGAACTCTTTAAAGCAGAATTACTAAAAGAAAAAAAGTAGATTAAACTTCATTCAAATCTAAAATTTTGAATGAGCCAAACACCATCAAAATGTAACAGACTAAAAAAAAAAAAAAAAAGAATTTTCTCATTAGGAGCACTCTTGCAAACACCTAAACAATTCTTAACAGAGAGAGGATGAATGTGCCTAAAGTAAAATGGACAAATGAGAGTAAGAGGGAACTCCAGGGTCAGTGAGGATGGCTAAACATGAGAAATGCTGACACTTAGCTCTACTGCTGGAGTGCAGCAGGGGAGTTGTGAAACGATAGTTAGAGCCCTTTCAGAGGTCAGAGCAGAACCACAGTGTGGACACAATGCTCCCTCCCTTCCTGCTCTGAAGGGAAGCACAAAATGGTACAAGTGTTTCAGTAGCGATTCCATGTAATAATTTTTAGATGTATGTTATGATTTGGCATAATGGTCTATGTCAATTAATACAACCAATACAAAGGAAAAGTAGAACTATTCATGCAGGGTTACAAAAGGTTGTGTTTATGTTACTGATTAACTTATAATGACCAAAATATCTATGAATGAGGAACCAATTAATGTAGCCACGGTACATTTGTAGGGTAGACTACAAAGAACACATTAGGAGTAATTATAAGATTTTGCACTGTGAACAGAGAAAGGTAGGCAAATTCTTTTATTAAGTGAAAATATTGTTATAAATCAGCATGATAATATGCTTGAACTTTAGTATTTAGTGAGAAAAAGCACAAGAAAAGGGGAGCCACATACATGAATTTAAATAAAGAAATAAATAAGACACAGAAAGACGAATATTGCCTGCTCTCCCTTATATGAGGGAGCTAAAATACGAAAAACCAAAAGGAACACACATGTGTATCAGTTTTGCTACAAATACAGTGTTTTGTAAAACTTTGCCTAAAAAATTGTTAAGAATTAGATACTACTGTGCTGTGGCGCAGTGGGTTAAAGCCCCAGCCTGCAGCGCCAGCATCCCATATGGCCGTCGGTTCAAGTCCTGGCAGCTCCTCTTCCGATCCAGCTCTCTGCTATGGCCTGGGAAAGCAGTAGAAGTCCTTGGGCCTCTGCACCAGCATGGGAGACTTGGAGGAAGCTCCTGACTCCTGGCTTCAGATCAGCTCAGCTCTGGCCATTGTGGTCATTTGGGGAGTGAAGCAGCAGAATAAAAGATCTCTCTCTCTCTCTCTCTCTCTCTGGCTCTACTTCTCTCTGTAACTCCTCTTTCAAATAAAAAAATAATTTTAAAAAAAGAATTATATACTACCATAGTTTTAATGATCCATGACAATTTAAAACTTTACATGAGTGAAAAAAGAGGTCACATATCAAAAGGTAAAAAGAGGTTATATGAAGGTACTTCCAAAAAGTCTTAGAGAAAATAGAATTAAAAGATGTTCATTCAAGTAAAAAAATTTTTGTAGTTGATTCATAGTTTTTTCTTTTAATTCTCCATGCATTTTTTGACCCCCTCGTATGTATAGATTTCAAAATTTTTGCAACACATAAACATCTTCTAATTCCATTTTCATAAACTTTTAGTGTGTTAAAATTATGTGTCCGTTTCTTTCCTTTATATTCTACTTTACCATCTAAATTATGAAAACAAAGGATATGCATTGCTTTCCTACTAGTATAAATTGGGAAGGGGAGAGGGAGGGCTCCCAGCCATGCACATTTGTTGAAGTAACAGCTTGCCAGGTACGTAAGAAAGTGGATTCAGTAAGTGTGTCTGCAACATTGCTTTCGAGGGCCCTCAAAATGGGCCAGAATGGAAGGTGAGGTAGGTTTGTGCAGGGACCAGTGTCTCTCTGCTGCCTGGGAAAGCAGTGATAAGGAATGGCTAGGACACACCAGGTACTGAGAAAAACAAACTCACCCTGTGCCTACTCTTACCCTGCCTCCGTGTGCTTTAGAAGCTCATGAGCTGTGAGCTTCACCAGGCAAGCCGCTGCCCATCGCCTCTGCCATTTCTCCAATCAGAACATTCCACACCATGCATGGGGAAGCAGGGGAGAGGAGGATGCAGAGTGGATGTCTGCCCCTCAGTGCCCTCACAAGTCTACTGCAGAGCCTGACCGAAATCTGCAGCCTAACTGATCCCTTGTCCCTATTCCAGCATCTCTGTGGTCGGTTCCTTCTCTCACACACTGACAAAATGGTGGCTATGAACACTACTGAATGAAGAGGACTGAAGAAAACATGGCTTATGTGTCAAAATAAAACCCACAGTGAACTGGTATTAGAGAGGAGATCAAGTCAGCAGAAAGAGAGGATTTTTCTTTAGAATTCTTTTTCCAAGTACCGCCATCTGATTTCCTTCTCTGTGTACAGGGCTGTGGCACATTTCGTGTCAACTTTTTTTTTTTTTTTTTTTTTTTTTTTACAGGCAGAGTGGACAGTGAGAAAGAGAGACAGAGAGAAAGGTCTTCCTTTGCCGTTGGTTCACCCTCCAATGGCCGCCGCGGCCGGCGCGCTGCGGCCGGCGCACCGCGCTGATCCGATGGCAGGAGCCAGGAGCCAGGTGCTTCTCCTGGTCTCCCATGGGGTGCATGGCCCAAGCACCTGGGCCATCCTCCACTGCACTCCCTGGCCACAGCAGAGGGCTGGCCTGGAAGAGGGGCAACCGGGACAGAATCCGGCGCCCCGACCGGGACTAGAACCCGGTGTGCCGGCGCCGCTAGGCGGAGGATTAGCCTAGTGAGCCGCGGCGCCGGCCTCGTGTCAACTTTTGAAAGGTTCTGTGTTACGTCTCTCCGTATGATCAATGCCAATCAAAATGAATCATTCATTGATAGAAACAAAAAATAGCTTTGAGGTACCTAGAGTTTCATAATTTCCTAGAACTAAATCTAACTATTTGTTGATGTGATCAGGTAGGCAACGATAAAGGCCCAGAATGGGTCTTTCTTATCTACCAATGCAGCTAACAAGGGGTCAAATAGCAATAATTTCAAGAACTGTTAAACTGGTTTGATTTCAATAGCTAACTGTTATGGGCCGGCGCTGTGGCACAGTGGGGTAAAGCCCTGGCCTGAAGCGCCGGCATCCCATATGCGCACTGGTTCTAGTCCCAGCAGCTCCTCTTCCAATCGAGCTCTCTGCTATGGCCTGGAAAAGCAGTAGAACATGGCCCAAGTTCTTGGGCCCCTGCACCTCGTGGGAGACCCAGAAGAAGCTCCTGGCTTCTGGTTGGTGCAGCTCTGGCCATTGCAGCCATCTGGGGAGTGAACCAGCAAATGGAAGACCTCTCTCTCTGTCTCTACCTCTCTCTGTAACTGTCTTTCAAATAAATAAAATAAAATCTTTTTAAAAATAGCTATTATTATATTTAAGAAATATTAATATATTTTTAAAATTTTTGTTTAAGGTCATCTAAACTTCATATAGCCACTTCACATGCAATTTCTATAGCTATTGTGTTAGTATCACATTTTCATTATTTCATATAGAAGCTGAATTTCATCTCTATCAATCCCATGTTTCAACCCAGCCTTCAATTTACTCATAATTAAGACAAGAGGGTTTTCCAAATACTCTCTGGGTAATTAGATGCTCATGCTGTAGACAGTTCTGTTAGTCAAGAGACATTTAACAGAAGTATCTACAAGAATTGCCTTTTAGCAGTGCTGTGCTATTTCTGGATGGCCGCCAAAGAAATTACAGTCCCTATGTTAAGTATTTATTCAGTGAAGCCTAAAGAATGACAGCGACTTCCTTATCCTTCTGTTTCCTACTCAGTAAGAAACAAGAAAGAGAAGACTGTTGGTATAGTAAATGTTGATTTACATCAAAGTAAATGATTATAAAAGATGACTTCCTCCACACTAAAGGGAACACAGAGAGCCCAGTGTTAACAGTTAAGAGCTTTGTTCTCTTCCCAATTATGTAGTAACATGTATGAATGACACACCTCTGTTGCTGCAGATTTTGCCATCTGGAGAAGTGCATCTTCGCTTGCTCTCCCAGGGGGTAATGTCGCACTGGAATTCGCATTTATCTCCATGCCAACCAGCCTCGCAGTAACAGTTTCCACAGTAACACTTCCCATGGCCTTCATCCAAAATGAATTTTATACAGTGAGGGGAAAAAAAGCAACTTCTCAAAGCAAAATTAACTTCCTACCTCTTGGTGATCATTTCTACCTTTTAAAATAACATTAAGAGCTCCCCATTCCTCGCTTAAAATAATCAAATTATACAGTTTTCCCCCAACACAGAACAGTTACCCTTCTACATGCATGATTATACCAGTAAAGCAAGCCAAATGTCCTTGAACTTGGCCTAGCCAGGGAACAGAATAAAATGAAAGTATTTTTGAAAAAGTTATACAAAAGACTGTGGAAGTCTACAGTGGTGACAACTTCAAATGCATGCACCAATCTCAAGGACATTTCTTGAATTAGTTATCCAAATATTTCATTTGAAATCAACCATAAAGAAACCAATGGAGCATATTTACTTGGATACACATTATTAATGACCAAAGCTTTTTTAAACCAGAGGAAATATTTCATCTTTCATTCAACTGTGTCCCACAAGCTGTTGAAGTTCACCACGTGGAAAAGAGGTTTTCGGCTAAGTCAATGTTTGGTTCTCATTTGACAAATAAAAAGCCATAAAGTCTGGGTCTCACAATTTCCCGTACAAATGATAGATAAGGGCACGTATAACACTGCAGCCAAATGTTACACTCTCAGTACGTGCCTCTCTATAACCTGTCACTCACTCATTTGGTCCCTCCCCCCCTTCACCCCTCGCCTAGACCATCTGTAGTGAATTTTCACATCACTACTTCTCTCATGCCTGCCAGGCAATCCTTATATAAATTCCCAAAACATGACATTTACCCCAAAATTCACTTCTTGCGCCACCCAAGTGTTAATGTACATCCTGTGCTTACTTTGAGTTTATTCTTTCTGTTACAGATCTCTGTGTTCCGTCAGCCTATGGCTAAAATATGCGAGAGAGATGCTCCTCCATCTCTCGTCTCCTATAGCCACAATTCCAGAGAGTCCATAAAAACTGTTAATATTTTTCAATCTCTTAATGGCCTATTTTAAGTATTAATAGTATGGCATCTCTAGTCAACAGCAAGAGCATTAGTAGGGCCTGTGAAATTCACACATGAAACAGGAGATACAGTAGAACATTATGGCCTGCTACACTATTCATGTGCAGCACTAAGAAAGAATTCTTCAAGCAGACATACATCTGAGAGAGACAGAGAAAGTGTGCTACAGTGAGAAAGAGTGGGGCTCAGCACATGACGGACGCTATGTTTTGTCTAAATGAACTAGAATAGGAATATCTATAGAAAAATTTCTCCTTAATCTAACAGATGATCATCTTTATAACATTTTAATTTGTTTTACTTAAGCAAATGTAAAAGCTATCAAGTGATTTCATCAGTAACAAAATACATCATTCATATATATATTTTTAGTTGACTTAAAAAGATTTCTGCATGTGTTCACAATTTAACCATATCCCAGGCCTCTGTCAGAAGACTTTGGCACTGGAACAGAGAGGAAAAAACAGTATATACTGATAGCTTTTCCCAGGAGTCAAGTTTCACAAGGTTCATCAACTTCAAACTAGAAATTTATTTCCTTCATAATTTCAGAAAACACATGCATAAAGTGCTACATAAGGATTACCATGATACTAACAAATGATCACAAATCTTAGCCCCAAATTCTTTGATTATGAACTTAATTAGAAAATTACAGTTTTACTAAAAATAGTTGAGATGGGGTGAACAAGAAGACAAAAATCATAAAATTGTATATGTATGGAGACATGGAAAATTGAACAGATATCCACATAACTCAAATCAAAACATAGCAACAAGGCACGAGGTAATTGACATAAAATGTCAGCTTCAGAACAAGGCATATTTAGATGATAAGCACAATTCTTTGCCTTGTATAAATTGATAAAACAAGACAATCTGTTTTTGCACTGCTTCACTGATGTACTGTAGAATCATCTCTCAACAGACTGGCTTCATGTGAATGACCCATGGAAAAATCTGCAAATCTAGGCAGTATCACCCCTAGAGGGTGTTTATGGAAGGGCTGGTGTCTGTGGTCAGAGATTTTGCACCAAGAAATGTCTTAAGCCTCAAACAAATGGAAATAACAAGCAGAAAGGTTGAGAGGTAAACATTCCGGGTTGTGTTGTTTCAAGTTAAATTTTGTATTTACACATTCAAACAGACTTTGCTTTGGTGTGTGTATCAGAACACACTGGCCAGAAGGCACGTTCCCTTCTGTTTTGATCTGCAGTAATTGGAAAGTAAAACTTCTAGAGGACAAATACATATTTGAGAGTGGATTTGTCTGATTGTTCTCATTATTTGGACTGAACCTAAGTCATTGTCTCAGAAAAATGTATAGAAGATTCTTTAGCTTGTTTTGTCTTGTTAGGTTGTACCGTCAGCAGGAAGCAGGAATGATAAGCAGAGCCTGGACTTGAACCAGGCACTCTAAGAATTCATCCTAAGTGGTGACTTAACCACTGTGTGCTAAATGTCAGCCCCCTCTGCTGCAGGAAGGAAGGAAAGAAGGGAGAGAGATTAGAGATGCAGAAAGGAAAGCAAAGGGACAAACTCAGTCCAAAGCGTCTCAGGGCCTTATGATTTCCCCTGGCCCTACTTGCCCAGACATTTCCAGGAAAATTACTCTTCTGAACCACACTTTCCACGTGCGGGACAAAATTCTGTGGACAAAAATCTCATCAGAAGCCAGAGAACAGCACGTCTAATAAGAGGAAACAATGTCCCCAAACTGCGGTGATTCTCACAGCTTTCTACCTTCCCTTTCTTGTCCCCATTAGGGCTGGAAACTGAAGCTGGGCACAGGCTTGCAGGCAGGCAAGCAGGAGAGTCAGAATCTGCAGGTGCTGTGAAGGGCTCTTCTGCCACTCTCGTCTCCAAGGCACCAAGGCAGCTCTGAATGGGGAGGGAGAGGGAATACAGCTGCTGGCGTCAGACAAAGTTCTACCATAATTGATGGAATGACCCTGGGCCAATTACCCAGTTTATCCAAGCCCCAGTTTCCACATCTGCCTTTATGGATAAAAATAATTCTTACCCTAGAGTGATGTTGTAAAACATGATGTTATGAATGCAAAGCACTTTTTGCAACGCTTGGCACTGGAAAGCAGGCCAGAACTGGTACAAATAGCAAATTGGATTGAGTGATGGTGGTACCTAGAACAGTCACGAAAAATCTTATCAAGGATCTGTGTGGGTGGAGGGGGAGGTGACTCTAGAGTATCCTTCCTATTGGACTTCAGTGTTCCCAATAAAACAGAAGACTATCTAAAGGCTTTTAGTTTAAAAGGGGAAAGAAGCTCAAGTTAAGAGATCAGGAGAAAAAGAGACCTAAGAGTGGCTAAGAAAAGATGGCATTCCACTAGGACTTCTCCAAAGCTAGGCAGTTGGCCTGTTGCCATGAGGACATGGCTCTCTTTTGGGGACAATCCAGTTTTGCATTTAAAAAGTACCTACTCTCAATGCCTTAGTCTAACTCACTTTTCATGAAGTGTTTTCCAAATAAATGTAAATTCAAATTATATTAGTACACCTAGAGCACAGATTTATACAGAGCTAAAAGTAAAATGAAGTAGGTGAAGTCAGTTACTTGGATTAATTTCCATAGAACTGATGTACTTACCTCCACATATTTCTCCGGTTTCATCATCCATGCATTCTCTATCATCACACTCACAGAATTTACCATAAACAAGTCCATTTCCATCTGAATTATCACACTTACATCTGCCACAATGACATGTGCCTACACCACAAAAACAAAGAGATTATTTGACATGTGCATATAAATTATAATTAATGAATTCTTATCTTGTTTCTTTCAAGAGGTTATCCAATTCAAATCAATTTAGTATTACAATTATACATTCCTGTGGGGATGATGAGGTAAGCTCTGCATTCTTGAGTTCATTACAGCACAGCAACTTTATTTTACATCCCAGTTATCACTAATGACCTCGGATAGTTTCATGAATGTAAATTTGACCTCCCCAAGTGCAGAGTTACTTTGTACATGTCCATCCATCCAGTGCACGAATGAATACCTTCTGATGCCACCTGGCTCTAAAGTCAACTAGAGCAGAAATGCCAAGATCTGTGAGAAGCATCCTTAGCTTCCTTTGCAGTATTTATTCAATGCTTGCTATAGCATTTGAACATATTCTTCATGTAATAAGTACTTGTGAAAATAATTCATTATCAAGTACATAATTGAAAGACTTATATATTCCCTATAATTTCAATTCCTAAGCATTAACCGATATGTATGTTCTTCTGATGATAGGATCAGAGTAGGTTTTCTTAGTTTCCCAGGACCTCACTAGAATCTCAAGACAACTCAAAAAGCCTTGTGACTCATGTGATCTACCTCAAGCCACATATGCATCCAAGTCTGAATACTTGACTGCTTTCCCCGGGGTGATTTCACTGACAATAAAATCACATTCAGATGAAAAGGAGATGTAGAATGTCTACTTGGAGAACTTTCTTTAATATATGTCTCAGTTTTTAATTGCTCATCACATCAATCAATATTCATGCTAGGGAACTTCAAAATGTTCAAAGACAATAGAATGACAAGATAATATGCACTTTCTATCAACTTTTTGAGGTTCCCTCATATATCAATTGAGTGTTATCATTCACCAAACAGTCCCCCAGACTCTAGAAATCCAACAAGAGATCAAGTCAGCCACAGTCCTCTTCTCAGAGCTTCAGATGAATAAAACCAGATAAAATAAGTAGAGGAGTCCTAAGTACAGGCCCTGACGCAGCTGAGAAACAAAGGAAAGGCAAGCTGAAACAAACAGAAAACAGCTAAGAGAGTGAGCCACTTCCAGGAAGAGACAACAGTAGGCGTTCCATGGTGCAAGAGGATGAAAGAACAAAGGGGAATCAAGCAGGGCTGAAGAGTGCAAAATAACCTGCAAAGTGGCGAGAATTGGAGAAAGCAGCTAAGGGGGCGGTTGGTCAGAACTAGCAAAGGCGTATTAAAGATTTAAAACTTTTACCCAAGAAGTCATGGGGCCAGGTACACAGTTTTACCAGGTTCCACTGGCTGTCTGAATGAACTGAAACGAAGCAGGAGTACATGGAAATGAATTAAGTCGCTGCTACATTGGTCTGAAGGAACTAAGACAAAGGCTGGACAGATGATGGCCTTGAGTTTAGAAAGAAGCTAAGCATTGGGCGATTTTTCAAGAGTAAGAATAGATAACATTTGGTTACTGAGGAAGTAGGAAGGGTGGAGGATGGGCAAGAAGCAGGGTGACACAAGTTGGCTGGAGCCTGATACTGACCATTCCGAACACGTGTACTGGAAAGCATGCACACAGGGCTAAGGCGGGCCTGGGGCTGGATCCAGGTTTTAATTCTCAGTAACTACGAAGTTATGGGATCATTACCTTTATCTCCAGTTCTCAGAGTCCAAATGTGAAAATAATCTCTACTTTGTAGAACTGCTACGAGAACCAAGTGATAACTACACCAGCCACTTGTCTTTTTGAAAGCACTGCTGTGTCCAGTACCTAGTAAGCTTTCAGAATTCTGGGGGTTGTTTCTCTTCCCTTTTTAGGGTACTGAGTTTGTCAGTCATATACCCAAATATTTTCTCCAGACTTACCTTATATTTATAACCCCTGATGTCTTGGTTTTCACACCCTCTGCAAGATTTTGTCACCAAAATCACTTGCAATTTGCTTTACCTGTTAGCTTTTTCTCGCAGTTACATAGAATGTCGATTGTGCAGAATTTGAGTGTGTCATTGTTCACTCAGAATATTCAGGTGAATTGTACTTTGATTAAACTCTTATGTTTCTTCCTGGAAGCTCTCTTAATTTATAAAAGTCACTTGAAATCTAATGTTAACAGTTCCTGCTATTGCTTCATCTAATTTTTTCTCTAATTATCACCCTTCCTTTTCATTTTCATATTTATTCATTCTGTCTTTCAACCACCCACACAGGAAAGTCATTAAACTTTCCTGTTATCTATTACATCACAAAATACTAGGTGCTATAGGAAATATAAAAAGGAAAATTAAGTAAAAGACTGGGAAGAAAGAGAAGAAAAAATTAAGTATATCATAGCTACAAACATATGAAATTAATAAATTATATATAATATACATGTTTATAAAAGTATTCAAATGTAATAGATTATATATAACATGCATATAAAAGTAAAAGACACATGACAAAGGTATTTTCAGCAGATATGTGGCAAACAATTTATAGAAATTACAAGCCTCAGACTGGTTCTGTGATGGACAAAAAGCATAGGAAAGTAATAATATAAAATATGGAGAGAATCGCAACAAATGGATGAAGACCAGACATATGATGCAAAAGAAAAACAGGAAAGAACCTGAGATAGAATAAGGATGTAAAGTGAAAGAACAGGGACGAATTTGGCTTGAGTTTGGAGAATAGGATTGAGTGAAGACAGGAGAGAATCAGGGATGCTGCTGAAGGACTTCAGACAGCATCTGTTGGAACGCCAGGAGCTCTTTCTGGCTTCGCAGCATACAGTAAGTTGGTTAGCACAGTGCATGCAGAAGAATTTTTTTCCAGAAAGATGGAAAGGGCCAGCCTCTGCCTCTGGATTCTGCAAGCGCTCACCAACGGCCCCCACAGACAGGCTCACTCTTGTCTACACATCTGAACCGTTCCTGGCTGCTGTGGGTACTTCACAACAGCTCACACACTTCCTGTCACCTAGCATGCAGAATTCACAACTGAACCTCCACAGCAAGGCATATGGAGCCCAGGCGGAAGTGCCAGACTCTGTGTTCGTGCTGCATCACGTGCTTCCTTCTCTTGCTTGCCAGTTAGCTCAGTCTCTAGGATTGATATTCTATACTTCAAACCAGATTAATTTAGCTCAGATATTTTTTTACACTGCCTACCACGGCTGGCTCTCTCTAGGATGACTTAGGGACTTAAGCACCAGCCCTCACCCTGTGAAATGGTGCTGGAGCCTTATCCTGCTCTGCATGCCGTCACCTTCTGGGTCCTCTACAGAGGTAAAATTCTAGAACCCTTTGGTCCCCAGCTCCATCTCATCCTGGCCTTATGTCTTCTTCCCCACTCCTTTTACCTCCCCTTCCCCTTATGCTCCAAGCTGCTTTCAGAAAACTACACTGGATATGAAAGGGAGAAGCAGTAGAGAGAACACAGCCTCTAAAGCAGTTTGTGGGGAGTGGTCCTGAACCAGGCTAATGGAAGTGAGTATTCAAAGAAAGATGAGAACGCCAAAATTCACATGACACATTTAGATATGTTGGGAAGACAATAAGAGAAAGAAAAGATTAAGTGTGAATTTGTCTTTCCACCCAGCAATCTTAGGATAATTTACCCTGACAAAGACAGAAAAATACATATGCACTAGATCATTCTATGCATCCTTTACAATGTCAAAATAACGGAAACTGTCTGAAGGCCCAAGTATAGGAGGATGATTGAATAAACTATCTCACAAATCTAGAATTCACTACTGTGTTTTGAAAAAGAATGAAAAATATTTGTGTAAGCTGATAAGGAATGAATTCCTGAAGACAATGCTGAGTGGCAAAGGCGGAGTGTAAGAGAGCATATTACGTTGCCTTTCACAGGATAAAAAATTGTTACATACACACATTTACCTATCCTAACAAAAAAGAAACACAAAGTAGACAACAGAAAAGCTGGGTGCATTTGAGACTGAGGGTCAACACCTGGATGACTAGAGATTTTCTGACTCTGTTTTCTGCATACTTTTGACTTTTAGAAGTAGGATGGTGTTCTAGACATCAGAAATATATTAACAGAGATATGGGTATGAATATGCATAATAGGTGTAGTGTATATAGGCATATTCCCATGCATGTGTTTGTTAGAGTTCACAAGCACTAAAGTGAAAACCAGGCTTGAAGATTCCCTGAGCAGACAAAGCCAGTGCTGCTTCCTGATGCCCTTAGCCTTGCTTGATTTATAAACCTAAGTGAAACTTAACACCTTGAGCTATTTTTTTTTTTTTTTTGGAAAAGGCTGTTAAAGAAAAACAGAACATAAGCTCAACCAATCAGAAGCAACCAATAAACTTATACAACTAGAGACTCTCCAGTAGGATAAACAAAACAATCACTTACCACATATTCCTTTAAATACACTTGACTTCTGTGCTTATCCTGTAAAGGCCTCCTTTGTGCACCACCAGTGTTGCTCCCCAACCACTTCTGGTTTGGAGCTGCCTAGTTCTTAAAGTGTTGTTTGCTCAAACTCCTCAAAAGGACTGTACTGTCTGTCTATACCTTCTGATGCTAGCCCATTCACAGGAAGGGCCAAGAAACAAACACAACACAGTAGAAATAAGGCTCTTCAGTGCTCATTATTTTTATTCCAAGAGTATTCCTCTCAGGGATTTGGGAGAAATGCTCAATTAAAAAGCTATGGCCTGTAGTACTGCCATCCCATTTGGGCACTGGTTTGAGTCCCAGCTGCTCCACTTCCGATCCAGTTCTCTTCTATGGCCTGGGAAAGCAGTGGAAGAGGGCCCAAGTTCTTGGGTCCCTGCACCAGTGTGGGAGACCTGGAAGAAGCTCCCGGCTCTGGATTGGCATAGCTCTGGCCATTACAGTCATCTGGGGAGTAAACAAGTGGATGGAAGATAGATCCATTCATCCTTCCTTCCTTCCTCCCTCCCTCCCTCCCTCCCTCCCTCTCTCCCTCTCTCCCTCTCTCCCTCTTTCTCTCTCCCTCTCCTTCTCTTTCTCTTTCTCTCTCTCTCTCTCTCTCTCTCTGCCTCTAACTCTGCCTTTCAGATAAATAAATAAATCTTAAGAAAAAAAAAAAAAAACTATGGCAAAGCAGCTACAATACAACCTGGAATGTTTTGTTAAGTCAAAAAGAAAAGAATTGTAGGGGCCATGGGCCATGGCATAGATTAAGTAGATTAAGCCATTGCCTGCAACGCTGGCATCCCATATGGACATTGGTTCAAGCCCAAGCTGTTCCACTTCTGATCCAGCTTCTTGCTAATGCTCCTGGGAAGGTGGCAGAGGATGACAAAAATGCTTGGATTCCTGCACCCATGTGGGAGACCCCAAAGGAGCTCCTGGCAACTAGCTTTGGCTTGGCCAGCCAATGGAAGATCTCTCTCTCTCTCTCTTTCTCTCTCTCTGGAACAATCTGCGTACCAGAATCTACATAATAAACCACAAAGACAATAAGTAAATATTAAATAAGTGGTTGCTGAAAGAGTACCCTCATGTACAGTAGAAAGAGGAGTGCCAATTCAGAAATATCCAAGGAATTTTCGAGTTTGGAAATCATCATTTTCCCATCGTTGTAAACACTGGATCAGGTAAGACTCAGCAATAAGTCATAAATCTAGGGCAGTTTTCATGAGGAATGGTATACTTGTATGTTTTCAAAGTGTCATAGACTACTTAGCTATAATCAGGGCAAGTCAGTGGTAACAGGGTTGAGACATCAGAAAACACCCCAAGCAGATGATCCAAACTGACCTCGGCCAGGAGAGGAGATGGGTATCTGATGAAACCTCTTGAGAACACAAAGCTGACAGCCTGGGATAGCATCTCAGAGTGCACCACCTACATCTGTACAGTAGGAGTGTCTGACAAATCCAAACTGAGAAACAGCAAAAGAGAAAGTAGGGACAATTTTCTTCTAAAGCTTCAATGCTATAAAGCCAAAGTCCTCATGGAAAGAGTCCAGATTCAAGGAATCCAAGGAGAAATGACAACTAAACATGAATGTAATGTAGATTGCATACTCGAAGAAGGGAAAGAAGATGCTAAGATATGATTGGGTTATCTACAAATTGGGCGATGGATCACGACTCAGAGAAAAGGTAGAGATACTGATAGCTTAGATAACCATGCTTTATATTTTTAACAAAAATAAGGGTGGGTATTTGGCACAGTGGCTAAGCCAGTGCTTGGGAAGGCCACATCTCATACCAGAGTGTTTGGTTCAAGTCGCAGCTACTCTATTTTCAATCCAACTTCCTGTTAATGAGCTCTCTGGGAGGCAGTAGTGATAGCATCAGCAGTTGAGCACCTGCCATCTATATAAGAGACCCAGATGGAGTTCTGGGCTTCTGCTTCAGCCTGGCCCAGCCCTGACTGTTGTAGGGAATGAACCAGAAGGAGGAAGATCTCTTCCCACCTGTCTGCCACTCTCTATCACTGGCCTTCTCCCTTTCCAACACGATGAAAATAATTTTAAAATACATGTTTTATTATATGTTCAAATAATTCTGTATATTTTGTCTTTTAAGATATGTTAAGATTTGTGAATCACGGCTGGTGCCGCGGCTCACTAGGCTAATCCTCCGCCTTGCGGCGCCGGCACACCAGGTTCTAGTCCCAGTCGGGGCACCGAATTCTGTCCCGGTTGCCCCTCTTCCAGGCCAGCTCTCTGCTGTGGCCCAGGAGTGCAGTGGAGGATGGCCCAAGTGCTTGGGCCCTGCACCCCATGGGAGACCAGGAGAAGCACCTGCCTCCTGCCATCAGATCAGCGCAGTGCACCGGCCCTGGCGGCCATTGGAGGGTGAACCAACGGCAAAAGGAAGACCTTTCTCTCTCTCTTTCTCTCTCTCTCATTATCCACTCTGCCTGTCAAAAAAAAAAAAAGAAAAAAAAAAGATTTGTGAATCACAAATTTAGATGCCTTAATGCTAAAATGTCTTCAAATTCCGAGACCAAACGCTATTCAGTTGTGTTATTTAAAAAAGTTTGGATTTCAATTGTAAACAAATAATAAATTCAAAAACACAGAATTCTAAAATAGAATTCAAGTACTATTACTAAAAGAAGTTTGAAATGAAAGAATTTTTTCAAAATGAAAGAGGCTATAGTATGTGTGTGTGGATGGTGGGCATTATGAATTAGAAGTAGAAAAATTCTGGGAACAATGCAAAAACTGAAATACCAGAGAGATTGAGAAGAGTATCATGAACACAGACAATGACCTGACTGCTAAGCCCACTTGGTTGGTCCCTGTCTGATCCCTTCGTTCTGCAATCTGGGTATGGCCCTGATTTCATTAGCAGAACACCTTACTGAGCTTAACCTACACTGAGCAATCTGGTGCAATCAAACAGTGAAGAAGTCCTAGCTCTGATTGCAGAAGAGCCTTGCCAATAAAGCAAGCTTCAGGAGGGGAGATACGCATTCAAGCAGTCAAATCCCCAGCATGCAGGGCAATGGCTCACACCCCATTGCAATCACCCAGACAGCTTTAAAATCTTACTAACATCCAAGGCACCCCCACCCCTTCCCAAAGCAACTGAACAGAACCTCCATTGTAGGACAGGAGCACTAACATTTTTACTTTCTCCTTGGATTCTCACACTCAACCATGGTTGAGAAAAACTGACTTTGAGGCTTCCATGCCCAAATGCTAAGAGTATTGTGGTAATATTGACCAAATTCCACTGAACCCTAAACTGCAACTCCTCCATTTGATCTGGTCTTACTACTAAATTTTAATAACTTCTCTGTAATTCTCCTAGAAATATTTTAAGACTCTTGTCAAACATAAACATATTTGGTTACACAAAAAGTCTTTGTTCTCACTGTATTCTGTAATGAATTGGATACCAGAACATCTGAAGTTTCTATCAGATTGCAAGGGTTTCGTTCTATCTTATGTCAACATATAAATTCAAAGTAACCTTGATTCTAACAGAAAACAATTCAGTCAGTTTACATGAATTCTTTCTAAAGGATTTTTTCCAGCATTCAAATCACAGCTCACAGTATACATAAAATGTTATCAAAACATTGCTTTCAGTGAATATTGTGTTCATGGAAGAATCTAGAACAGCTGGAGAGCACCAAAACTTGCCAGTCTCAGAAAAATGACTTTTTTCTATTGACTTATCCAAATTTTACTTCTGAAAAATATACTCAAAAGAAGTCTCACTAAAAGATTTAACACTTCTCCACACCCACACATTCCACTAAACAAAATTTGATTATTTCACTTGATAATGTTTTCCAAGGCAGAATCCTTACCTGCATTGGAGCATATGGCGTCTTGAGAATTCTTGCACATTTGGTTACTCTTCCTCTTGGTCAGGTCACAGCTAGAGGGGAACTGGCAGGCGTCCCCAGACCATCCCACGTCACATTTGCACTTGCCACAGTCACACTTACCATGGCCTGAGAATTTAACAATACTCCGTTAGACTAAAGTTGTTTTCCATAGGAAACAGTATTTTAACTAAAGCCCTTAAGGGTGAAAATGGCTCAAGACTGAGCTATAATAAACTCAAACACAAATGCACACACACGTGTGTATGTATATATACACACATATATACATGTATGTCTATATATGTATATAAACATACATGTGTGTATGTATACATATATACGTATGTGTATATATATATAAGTGGCTGAAGGGTTATGCTGTTATACACAATGTAATGAAATATGACAATTTTATTTCAATAATCAACCTTGACAAATCATTATAAAAACAGAATTTACCAAGTATTAGATTAACACATCAGAAGTCTAACAAATCATATGGTCAGAAAGTTCAGCACAGAAACAAAATCTTACCTAGCACCTCAGTATTTAAAAGACAAAAATCCACTACAAACTGTTTCTACTTGATTTTATTCTATATCACATAAAACCACAAATCCTGGGGTCAGGGTTGTGGTGTAGTAGTTAATCCACCACTCATAATACCAGCAACCGTATCAGAGTGCTGGTTTGAGACCTGGCTCCTCTGCTTCCCTATCCAGTTCCCTGCTAATGTGCCTGAGAAGGCAGCAGAGGATGGTACTACTCTCACACCCCTGCCACCTACTTGGGAGACCTGAATGAAGTTCAAACTCCTGGCTTGGGCCTGAAATAGTCCTTGCTGTTGTGGCCATTTGGAGGGTGAACAAGCAACAAGAAGATCTATCTCAACCTCTGTCACTCTGCCTTTCAAAAACAAAATCTTGGCCGGCGCCGCGGCTCACTAGGCTAATCCTCCGCCTAGCGGCGCCGGCACACCAGGTTCTAGTCCCGGTCGGGGCGCCGGATTCTGTCCCGGTTGCCCCTCTTCCAGGCCAGCCCTCTGCTGTGGCCAGGGAGTGCAGTGGAGGATGGCCCAGGTGCTTGGGCCCTGCACCCCATGGGAGACCAGGAAAAGCACCTGGCTCCTGGCTCCTGCCATCGGATCAGCGCGGTGCGCCGGCCGCGGCGGCCATTGGAGGGTGAACCAACGGCAAAGGAAGACCTTTCTCTCTGTCTCTCTTTCTCACTGTCCACTCTGCCTGTCAAAAAAAACAAAAAAAAACAAAAAAAAAAAAACAAAATCTTAAAATGGGGAAATAAAACCCACAAATCCTAAGCAAGAATCTTACACAGAACACTACAACATGAGCCTTTTTATTTGAATTATATATGCAATGATATCTTGTAGACATATTAAAGATTACCTTGGAACAAGACTGATATTAAAAGTAAGTTTATATTTGGTTTCTTAATGAGAAAATTTGGTTCAAGCATCAAATGGCTAAAAGCCACATTCAACAACAGCCACAGAAACTTCTCAATGTCCTCAATCATCATTTTGCTTGTAGGCAATGCTGTTTTTATTATTGTGCTCATTAACCTTGTTGAGTCCTGATTGATGAAGTCTACTAACGGTTTCATTGACTTCACATTATTCTGACAGAAGTGCAAAATGTGTACAATGCTTGGCCCTTGTCCTTACAAACTTCAAAGTCAAGGCTGATACACTAAGAAGCTGGTCCCACTATTGGCCAGAAGTTTTTGTCATCTCCTATTAGGTTGAGCTTATACTCTGATGTTTAGGACTAACATGGGAGCCTTTCAGGGCTTCTCTACCCAAAGTTGGTCCTTGACAGTTGAGTAGTTAGAAAGGGTTGCAGAAAGAGCGTTTTATTAGTCAAGATAATACAACTATGTCTTAATTTCTGAAATCTCTTGATTACATGGAATAAGATTCCTGATCAGAGGCCTACAGTTATTCACTGTAGTGGCCAGGTCTAGATGGCAGGTCAGAATGAATGTCTTATCCCAACGTAAGACTTACACGACAAACATAGGGCATCAAGGGTTATGGAATTTTCAAGGGAGACAAGGTTAAAAATAAGAAGAAAATAAGAGAAACTTCATAGAGGACAGAAAAGAACCATTCATCATAAACTCGCTCAATTAAGCACCAATAGAAGTGATATTCTAAGGTGCTCATTCTTCCGAGTGAGTCCACGGAGACCCAGTTTCATAAAACTTCCTCTGTAGAAGATTCTGGAGTATGTTTTTGCATTCCAGTTAAAATTCCTACATCTCGTAATGACGCACCTAGGGTCAGTGCCTTCCTCTGGTTGGTGATTCTACCTTCTTGCTGAAGCAGACCTGGGAGGCAGCAGTGACGGCTAAAGTAGCTGAGTTCCTGCCACTCATGTGGGAAGCCTGGGTTGAGTTCTCGGCTCACAGCGTCAGTTCCAGCTAGGGCCATTGTGAACCAATGGATAAGAGTTTGTCCTCTCTTCTCTCCCTTTGCCTTTCAAATAAATTTTTTAAAAATTTAGATTCCAGCATAAAATAAACATGGGAAAGAATTTTGCTGTACTCTTAATGTGCCATTAAATACCCTTGCTATGTCAAAGCTATTTACCTTCATTTAGCTGAGAATTACCTGAGATTATACAATATTTTTGGACTGTGGGCCTCTCTTTCCTCATAACCTGCACTAGCTTAAGCCAACACTGGGTCAGGTGGTGCATCTCCATATTTTTCCTTTAGCATCTGTTCAGAGATAAAATTAGCAGCTAATGCAGATAGGGTCCCCTGCCTTCGTATGCTCTCCACACTTTACACACAGTGAAGGCCTCCTTGATTCACTTCCACCCATTTTGGACCACTAATAGAACAGGAATTGATTGTTGACTATCAGGAATAATTTTTCTAAATGAAAATGAAATTTTACTACTTTTCCCAGGTTCCCCAGGTCTTAGTGGATCTCAGCTAATCAGGTTGCTATATTATTATCTGAAGTAAACTCCATTGCAGTGTCAATAATACAGCTTCAAAAAACACCTCATTTTAAAAACAACTCATATATTACTGATTCCTTTCCTTAGATTGACATAGCAAAGCACTAAAAATGCCATGGCTCATACAAGAGAAATGTACTCCTTCCCAATCCTGAAGGCCAGAACCCTTACACGAAGGCACCAGCAGGCCCCGAGGATCAGGGACAGTCTGCCCGATCCCTCTCCTGGCTTCTCGGGGTTGCCTGTACTCCTTGGCCTCCCTTGGCTCATTGCAAGGCACTCCAGTCTCTGGTCTGTCTTCATACTGTGCTGTCTGTGTCTTCATATTCTTCCCATTGTAAGCACACATATCAGTGGACTAATAGGAGGATGACTTCATAGTAATATAATCACATTTTCAAGGATCCCATTTCCAGGCAAGGTCACGTTCACAGGCACCAGGTATCAGAATTTCGTAAGTCATTTTGGGAGACACAGTTGCAAATATGGATGCCTCCTTTCCTGATCCAAATTCACAGAAATGGTGGGGTCAGTTTCTTTCTCTTGGGGATTCAAAATAGCTGTGGCTGGCAGCAAGCCCGCCTTCTCCTTGCCACTCCCCTGAATGAAAGGGCCTGGGAACCCTGAAAGCCCCTAGACACGGGTCTGCATCTGACCCCACCGCTCTGTCAATCCCTCCCCTCCTACTCCTTCTGCAGGGGTTTCCTTGACTTCTGTTCCAGCCCAGAGACACGAGCTCTGCCTCAAAACTGCAGAAAGGCCAGCTCTGGGGGACAAGTCGAGGGGCTTTAAATATAAAAGATGTATTTATCTATTTATTTGTAAGGCAGAATGAGTTAGTGACTGAGTGAGAGAGCGAGCGCGCGAGATGTTCCATCACAAGCCAGGACGGTGAGGATGAAGCCAAGAGCCAGGAACTCCATCCTGCAGGAGCCCAAGCACTTGGACCCTCTTCTGTTGCCTTCCCAGGAGCATCAGCAGGAAGCTGGATGGGAAGCAGAGCAGTTGGGATTCAAACCGGCACTCTAACACAGGATGCCAATGTGGCAGGCAGTGGTTAGCCTGCTGTGCCACAACTCTAGCCCCAGCTTGAGACTCTCAGGGTGGAAAGTTCTGGATCCAAGGCACTTCCTACATGAGAGAAGCAGTGGCCACTTCCACATGGAATCCTTGTGGCTACCTCTCCTTGGCCTTTGCCTAGGGCATGGACAGTTGGAGAAGGACCAGAGCAGAACCCCCTTTCGTATTGTCTTGGTCTAGATGTTGCCTTTATTCAGGATAACATGAAGTTCTAACAAGCAAAGTAGTCTGGCTGTCTATGCCATTCTACTTCTGATTCTTTTCCAGAGAATTCAAATGTGGCCTTAAAATGAACATTCCAGCTGCTTGAGAATAAATCTATTGACCTTCAAATAAGTTCCCAAGGAGTCAGGGAAAAGAGACACATAGACAAGCTGGAGAAAAGCAAAACAACTGCTCAGCCAACGTAATGGAGATGGAAACAGTAAAAGCTATTTTTACTGCTTCCAGGGTTGTCAGTGGTGTGCCAGTCACCAGGAAGAGAGGACAAACACAGTGGAAGGTAAAATCTAAGTATATTAGTTTCCTGTCCAGGCAAAAATGGAGAGGCTGGGTCCTCTTTCCCCAGGCTCTCAGGAGAGCTAACTCCTTGCTATCACCCTGACAAGGCACTAAACTACACAGTGGTGATGAACATCTTAAAATGCATTAGTGAACAATGGAGGGAAAGGTGATGTTTTCTACTTCTAAATTAAAAAACTCTTTCCAAGTGAAAATGCAGATTCTACCTGGATTGGAGAATTTTTAAAAATCAATTACTCATTGGCACATACCAACAAAAAGTAATTGTGCTTTGTTGAATATGAGAAAGAAAAAATAAAGGAGACATCACTTCTATCCCATCTTTACTGATCCTAATAATCATGAAATACATGATTATAATATGAAACCTCATATGGAAAAAACTACCAAAACTATTACACCTACTAGATTGGCTATACATCAGGGCCTTAAGTCCTCTTGTGGTCTTTACAAGGTGAACTAGAAAGCTAGCTAGATACATATAAAAGTAGGTGGGTATAGGTACAGAAATATTAGCTATAGATGTAGAAATTG